GCAGGCAGGTAGCACAGGGCTAAGAACCAGACCTGGCCACTGCCAGCCACTGAACATGTAGCTGTGACAAAGTCATAGACTGTCCAGAGCTCCCCATTGCCCCCAATATCTGCTACACCTACCCTAGCAGAATTGTGAGATAATGTGCGTTAAAACTGTGCGTGGTGAAGGAGCCATGATCACCACTGCTGACAGCACAGAGCGCAGGCACTACAGAGAGAACACTATTAGTGGAACGGATAACAAACTGTGAAAGTACTTTATAAACTAAATTGTAGTATACATGTAAGATAATATTTTAACTGATTCCTAATCGTCACTCCTTTCCACATACAGAACATTCATATCCCCAGCTGTCCTCAGTACCTTAAGCCCAATTCCAATTGCCGAATTATGCAGATGCCCTCCACCAACACAGTCTTGAGTCCTTTGCTCACCCCCCACCCCCACCAGCTTCCAAAGATGGCTCCAGAGCCACCCAGAGCCCTGCAGGGTAGCTCTGCGGTAAAGCACTAGCTCCAGGGTCAGGATACCTGGTTCAAATCCCAGTTTTATCACATATCGATTGCAAATCCCTAGCCAAGGTGCTTAACTGTGGTAAAGCCAACAGTTCCCTTGACTATAAAATGGGGATTGTAACTTCTACTCCATAGAGGCACTGGGAGGATTAAAAGAAATAAGCCAGATAAAGGGCTCAAGTAGTACAATGCCTGGCGCAGAGTAAACAGTGAATGGTAGGTTTTCTTATTACTACTGCCTCTAACTCACAGATAGCTTTCAGCTTCCAGTTACACATCCTGTGCCCCCCGCACTCGCCACATGGTCTAGTTAAGGAGGACAGAGCAGCCTCCAGAGTGCAGGACAGGGCTAGCCAGCACAGAAAGCGTAGTTGAGTCACCATGATTCCAAAACTGCAGACCCCTACCCCTACCTACCCTCATGTAGGTTTCAAGTGTAAAGTGCAAATTGGGATTGTGGTTAGCATTTGAAACACTTGATGAAAAGGTCTAGAGGGGTGGTATGTCAGGGAAAGCAGAAAACACTGGGGAAGGACATGGGTAGAGGAAGAAATCTGAGACGGTCCATTAAACGAGTGGAAATGATGGAAATCTGAGGTCATGTTGACCAGAGAGCAGGGATTTGGAGAGTTGGAATGGGCCACCAAATGAGTCAAAGCAGATGGAGGCATGTTTATGCCACATTTATACCAGCGTGAGTGGTCCTGCTGTCAGCAGGGGTCAAATGACCAGCAAGGCCTTGCAGGTGCCCCCTGGATTTCTGCTGGAGAGCCGGTCCTGGAACTGTCCCTTCTTGTCTCTTTATTCCCTTTCAGCTTGTCTGGACAGCTAGTCTGTAATCCCCTATGCTGACGGCCACATCGTAATCGCCATTTTTCTTACTGTTACTGGTTGAGACCTTTCTGTTTTATAAATATGTTCCCTTTCCCTAGTTTTTCACATGTTAAGCAATGAGATAAAAGGATGGGCTCTGAAATCGGAAGAGGAGTCAAACCTCATCTCTGCTACTTCTTAGTTCTATGTCCTTAGCTAAGTGATTTGATTTCTCTAAGCCTCCATTTCTAAACTATATGTAATAAAAATATAAAAATACAACACCCCACCCCACTGTTGTGAAAATTCACTGAAAAAGAAGTATTCAGAGAGAAACCAGCATATAATAGATGGTTAGAAAATGATAACATCTTTCCCTTCAGTAGAGAAAATAAGAAAGCTTAAATTAGGGAAACATTTTTCTTATAGCCTTATAAACAGCTAGTCAAATATGCTTGCAAATATGTCGATGATTAAAAATATTTGATAATTACAACAAAGGCAAGGTCAGGTGCTAAAGATGTGATGGTAAATAAGACAAAGTTCTTGCCAGTTGGAGTTTTCATTCTAGTTAGGAAAGACAGCAGATAAAATTAACATATATATATATATATATATATATGATGTGTAAAATATTTTACAGAAAAATAAGATATTCACATGTACTTAGTTGTGCATGACTTTTAATGGAGATTTTGCCTCTTGATTGATTGATGATCTTAGGTGGTGATAACAGCATGTGAATGAAATCCCAGACTCCAAGGTATTAGATTCTAAAGAGATTAGAGTGAGGAGGTAGATTTTGAGCTGAGAAGGATCACGTGTGAATGTCTAAGAAAATGCGTGCTATAAATTGTGACACCTCTGCAAGGGAAGTCAGCTGGCTTTCCTAGGCCAGCAAATTGCTGGTGACCCTAGAGAATTGTACGAGGCCACAATTTAATTGCACAAGCTTTAAGAGATCTGCAGTCCTTTATCCCATTAATTCAACCTGCAACTTTGTTCTCTGGTCCCTTTTGAATATGCAATTCTCACGGATTGCAATGGGAGTTACAGATACAGAGAGAGGGAAGAATTGGGCCAATTATCTGTTCAAAGCACAGCACCATTTAAAGTACAGTTTTAAAGTGTTTGCAGGCACATTAGTGAGTCAGCTCCTTCTCACAAGTTTGTCTAGAAGGCTTTGCATTTTGAATGGACCATTTTAAAGGGCAATCTCCTTTCCTAAAATCTCAGTATCATACTCATGCACCAGTAATTTGATTATGACTGCTAGGAGGCAATGACCACACATTTTAGTCTCAACCATGCTGCTGAATTGCTTCAGATTTAAGCTATAGCCTAATCATAATTACCAACCCCAAATAACATTATAAATTCCTACAATGCCTATTGGGCTCTGACTGCTATTCCACATAGCAAGTCAAGTCGACATAGCCTTGGCCCTCAGAGACCTTTTGTTTGAAATAGTCTTGGTCCATTGGTCATGCACTTACACAGAGCAAAGAGTCAAAATGGCTGTAAATGTAACATTTAAGGCAGGTGAACTTGCACAAACAGGGAGGGTGGTGCTGTGATGTCAGCTCTTCCTTACCTTATGGATTATATGTTATAGCACTTGGCTGCCTGGTAAATTTCTGTAAAGCAAATCCTATTTTTGTATTGATTTCCATTCTGTAATTCCACGTGCATTAGAATTCATGAAAGTCTTATTTGAAAACTTCTTTGAGGGAGAGGCCCTGATGATGTAGACTTCCAGACACTCCAGCTCCCCATTTCCTCTGTCTGCCTGGGACTTCTCAGGGCTTTTACAAGGTACAGCCCTGGGAGCTCAGGATCTTCTCTTAGCTAGCAGCTCTTTCTTTGACCAAGAGAAAGTTATTTGTCCCACACCTTGAGATACCCTGACCTCATTTTTCTAACAGCAATCCTTTTCCTTTTGCCTGGGTATTTATAATGCTTAGGAAGACCAGGCTCAGGATTGACCTCTATCAGTAATTGTCTCTAAATGTGGCACAAAAATTAAGTTCCAAGGTTTCACTTTTACAAAACAAAATGAAGAGAGCTGCCATTTACAGCCATGCAGATTGTACAGTCCACGCCATACATAGCAATGCTGCAAACACTGTACCTTTGTGGAGCTTGGAAATAGGTTCTAATTCTGACTTCAAGTTTGGTATTAATAATGGTGAGACCCTGGGAAATCTCTGGGATTCTGAGCCTCTTTCTCTGAAAAATGGGGCCACGATAGTCACCTTTCAGAGTGCTTCTATGGACCACATTCATATTACAAAGTATGCAAAAAGTATGCTCACTATGTAGTGGCTTTTGTGGCTTTTTTCTGTTTTGTTTCATTTTCAATGAGGGAGGTTATTTAAATGTATTACATACTTTCCACAGAGTAAAAAGTCCACATGCGATTAATATTTTAAAGGAAAAACTCTTATTTTTCTCAAATGTCATTTCGTAAGGAACAAAGACCCTGTGAAATGGCTCACCAGATAGTTATGCTGGTTATTGTGCTCATAATAATGCTGGAATGAAAATTTTCTGCAGGGCTTGATTCTTTCAGGTCTACTCATCTGGTATTCTCCATGTAAACAAATAACAAAACAAGTGAGGGCAACAAAAATCATTGCTAGTATAATTATTAACAAGTATTCTTTGATTGATTGACTTTTCTTATGTCAAATCCTATTTCTAATAATTGTTAAACTAATAAATAAGAGGTCCCAGAAATAATTATTAATATCATGTTTAAATTCCTTTTCAAAATGTTTTCTTGTCTTGCTATAAAATAAAGAATTTAAGATTTGGGTGATATATGTTCTAGCTTACAAAAATTTGTTTCTAGGGTCTTCTTTCTACCCTCTAATTAGTTACACAGATCAACAAGTAATGCTAGCTCCAATCCTCATGGGATATGAGGTTAAGAAATTCTTGGGAAGAAATTAAATAATTTCAAGGCAATTATTTCAGTAACTTTTAAGAAATAATCAGATTTTTAAAATTAACCAATGAGTATTTATTTATATGGTAGAGGGGTAGTAGGGTTAGGGATTTTATGATAATACGGAGGCATAAAAAACACAGCCAGATTCTCTTTAGTCTTAGCTAATAAAACAATAAAACCACCAGGGGTCAAATTACATAGGACAGGGTTCAGGTGCTAAAGAAGTTCAGCAAGAGGGAAATATTAGTAAAGTCTGTGACAATCAGAAAAGCTTGCTGGAGAAGTTGGATCTTGAGCGGAGTCTGAAGGGATGAACAGAATGTGGATCGGCAGAGGAAATATGTTCCTTAAGTGTTTTATACCTCTGATCTGCAGTCGGGCTTTGTGAATCGTTTCACTTTATAAATGTATAAAATATTTCCAGATAATTAGCAAACCTAAAAGCTTGAATGTGAATGGCTAAAATGATTGGCCCTTACTCAGTAGTAAAACTTCGCCCCATGGGAAGAAGAAATTCTTCCACTGAGGCCCACTTTCCAGTTGGCATTAGACATTGCCCTGAGTTTATACATGCAGATCTTCAAAAGATAAGGGTCAACAGATTGTGATTATGCAAATGAGGTGTTCAAATTCTACTTGGGAGCACAAGTAAATAACAAGACAACCTGAAAGTTAGCTAAATTGGAAAGCTAGCTGAAATGCTAAATGGAACATACTTGGTAAGAAATGATGGGTTCACTCAGCCCGGAGGAAGTGTAGCAGAATGGAGAATGTTTTCTAATACAGTTCTACTCATTGTGATCTCAGCTCGAAGTTCTACAGTGATAGGTACAGAAGGCATATTGGAAGCTTTCCACATGTCTAATTATTTCCTGCTAAGTCTATCATCAAAAACTGTAAACATTTAAACATCTCAGTGAATGTTATCTGTTTTTCTTCACATAAAATGATGATGAAGGTAGTAAAATTGTGTGTTATAGATACCATACTGAATGTGTGTATGTATATATTATTATTATATATGTATACATATGTACATATATACATACATATACATAGATATAGGTATATATAGTCTTATATATATGTATATATAGTCTTAGTCCATTCAAACTGCTATAACAAAAATACCACTGGCTGGCTTAAACAACAAACATTTATTTCTCACAATTCTGGAGGCTAAGGAGTCCAGGATTAAAATTTTTGGTAAATCTGCTGCCTGGTGAGGGCCCACTTCCTGGTTCACAGATGCCATCTTCTCTCTTCTCACTGAGAGTCTTATCTGGTAGAAAGGAGTGAGAAACCTCCCTGGGGATCTCTCTTATAAAGGCACTAGCCTCATTCATGGGCGCTCCACCCTCATGACCTAATCACTTCCACAAGGCCCCACCTACTAATCCCATCACACTGGAGATTAGGATTTCAACATATCAATTTGGGGAGGACACAAACATTTAGCCCATAACCCTATAAAATGAAATTTATAGTTGCTGTAAGAGTCTGCTCACCTGCCTGCAACCCTCTGTATCCTCTTTTCCTCTCAGTCCCATCCCATCCTTCCTAACTCAAGTCAAAACCTAGATTCATTAACAGCCATTCTTCTCACATTATTTACCATCACTCCATGCCATGTTATATTAGATTTATGATCATCCTATTGATCATTTACATCTTTCTTTTTCAATCAGGGGCAACAGGTCCTTGACTTTGATGACTGTGATGTTGCTTAAATATGTCTACAAATTTTTGATACTCCTGCCTTCAAAAGGCAGGGCCTAATTCCCCACCCCTCGAGTGTGTGCTGGACTCAGTGAATTACTTCTAACAACTAGAATAAAAACAGGAGTTACAGTATGCAACTTCTCCTTATTCTTTCTCTTGGGGAAAACAGGATGCTATGTCATAAGGACACTCACCTGTGGTGAGAAACTGAGCCCTTATACAAAGAGTGAGATAAGAATTCCCCATTTTTTTGATAGGCTGTGCAAAGGGAGAGTAAGCCTTGGCCCACTTCTAGTCTTTTTCATATCTTAGCCAAAGGAACATATTTACGACAATGATTATTGATGGGAGAAATACTGACCCCCCCCCCAATTTTTTTTCAGAAATTTTTGCAAGACATTCTAGATTTTCATAATGACAGGGGTCACTATAAAGGCATTTAGTAGGCTGGTGGCAGAGATGTTATGTGGCCTGTGGCACATGGAACAGTACCACATAGTGAAGTATCAACCTATCTCCCTTACGGGTTTAGAGTGCCCTGCTAGACATTCATAAAGGCAAAAACAAAAACCATTCAAAATTGTTTGAACTTAGAACTTCTGTTTTATACTGAACTCAGTTTTTATGGTTTTAATATGTAATGAATTTTCCAGAAATAGAACCACTGTATAAATCATTAGAATATTATACTTTTTAATGTTTGTGTAGAACCTTTCTAGAATTATTCAAAACCACATACATGAATGGCAACAGAGTCACCAACAAAAGATACTTGTAACATCTGAATTTATGGCTGAAGAATTCCTAGTGATTCAACGAATAGATGAAAGTATCTGACTACTTTCTAATAAAGCTCTATGTATGCATTGCTCTTTGAAATACACACTAGTTTACTTGAAGCTGCTTTCCATTTACTTCCCCTGTATATTACAGTTAGAGCATTATATTACTGTAATGAAAATTGTTTAAGTAGATATATGTTCTGTAAATTTCTTTTCAGATAATAAAGAGACACTACAAAATATATTTCAAAGAGGGGTACAGGGTCTCCTAGTGTTGAGAGCCATTGCTCTAAATTGTTGGAGATGTGTCGAGGGGCAGTGTGGCCGAGTGGAATGACCTGGATTCAAATCATTATTTACCATTTGCTATGATTTAGCAATCTGTTACCTCTTTCAGGCTTAAGTTTTCTCATCTGAAAAATAGGGTCATGACAACTACCTTACAGATTTTGTGAAGGATTAGAGATAATGTATTTAAGTATTCAGGACAGGCCTGGCCCATTGTGGGCACATAATAATGATACATGTTATGGTAAGTAATATTAATAGTACATGTTCTCATCCATTCTTTAATGGGCAAATCAGTGTGTTCATTCTTCCCAGATGTGATGGGTGGGATGCCAGCTTGAATCCGAAAACTAACAAGAGTCATGCTTAAGAATAACAACAGAGAAAACCAATGAGATATAAGATATTGTATAGCCTAAAAGAAAGAGACCGAGCCTCATTCAACTGTGGAGTAGCACATTAAAATGATTAGCAAGATAAGGTATTTCTATTTTTTTTTTCCTTATAGAATACCATTTCCAGGCATATTTCTGCTGCAGAAAGTAACTGTCATCCATGCCATACAAAATGTTTTACAAAAGCTATAAGGAAGTCAGTGATAATTGTGATCTATATTTCTCTTATAGTCACCATAGACCTCACTGTCCACATCAACCCTGCTGTTGATGTTGACAGTTGGTGTGTTCTGGTGCATGTTGTCTTCTGTGCTGACTGGTGGACAGAACCTCATTCTGATACGACTAGGCAGGTGCAGTTGTGCTAAAAGGTGTTCTGTCCCCACCTCAGCCATCATTGCTGCTACTCATGGAACTCAGTCAGTGCCAAAGTTAGCACAAGTACCTCCAAAGAAATGGCAAAAGACTAGTTGTGGGCAAGAGGAAATAATATTGACTATAATTCTGAGATACTCGACTATCTTCTGCAGGGGAATAATATAATTTTTTACCTGCATTAAAGATACCCAGAATCTAAGAGGGGCAGAAGAACCCATCCAGCCAGATTTGGCATGAGGCTCATTTGCTAAAGGCCCACAGGGGAACACTTAGAAGAGGAAGAGCAGTCCCAAAGTGCATGGAAAAGATTTAAGCTGTCCTTTAAAGTAACCTTGCATGGTTAACCAAAATCTGGATTCATTTTCATTGTGCTTTATAAAACAATCACCTTCATAGCATTAGAAGTAAACATTAATAGAAGAGGGAGCTCTTCTAGTCAGTACACATAAAAAGAAGTCATTTAAACCCAATATTATATAGATATTAGTATTAAAATTGCAAAAACCAGTTTTTAAGAGATAAAAGATGTTAAGAAGTTTCAAAATAGCAGTACTTAGTCTTATAACTGATGTATATATAGAAGATATTTAAATGTAAATTATCTGTGAACTAAAATGAGAAGTTAGGAATAGTACAATAACAGAAATGGTTATTGAAACCATCTGAAATTTCCTAAGTTCCACAGTATCAAATAATATGACAGTCTAAGTTGCTCACAGAATAAGATAGCATTAGAGAGATTTTAGTAGATATTTTTGTAGTTTCACAAAAGAAAGTCCCTGAAGAATAGAAGATGGTTTAGATAATGCTATTATTTAATCAAAAATGTCAAATACCAGCCATCACACCACCTGCTTTTTAAAGTAAAGGAAGCTAAAAACTAAGGGGGTGGTTTAAAAAGAGACAGAGAAAGAATAAATGACAAAAAGAAGAGAAAAAAATAATCATAGTCTAAAGGAGATGGGTATAGGGTGTAGTTACTCAGTATTTGTTGTCTCAAAAGTTTATGTATGAACTAAAATGTATTTAAGGATAAAAAAGAAATATACACCACTTTTTGTATGTCAATCATGTCTCAATAAAGCAGTTTTTAAAAAAAGATAAAAAAGAAAACTCTAGAAATTAGCACCATTTCTTCCTTTAAGGATGAGAAAGAAGTTACAATAACTTTTAACATTAAGGTTCTTATATTCCTTTATACCTCCTACCTCTGTGGTTCCCGTTTTTACTGTGCTGAGGTTTGTTAATGCAGTCCTCATTTACCTTCCAGCTGCAGCTGTTCTTCATTGTTAGGGTTTGCTGCGAAAGATTTGCTCAGGTATTGAGAACAAGTGGCAGGTGCTATCTAAGTATACCCAGTGTCAATCCCAGAAGCAACATGTTAGTAAAGTTCACTTCATGCAGTAGTTGGTTTTCTACAAAGTTGTGTCAGTGTAAGATATTGGCAAATCCCCTGGTTTTTAAATGGGATTATCCCAAATTTAATAACCTTTTTATAATTCCACATTCTCAAATATTGTAAAATAAAAACAAATTAACTGAATATTGTGGGTAATTCAGGGTTAAGTAAAGCCTATGCTTCAAAGCTATGAGTGAAAATGTTTCTTAAACATCAGTCCACTACCCTGCTTTTAGGAGTTGCTGGTTCACCTCGAGTAGCAGGTCAGGGCTTGCTCGGTGCCAGCCTCAGTACCCAGGACTGTTGGTCAGGATGCCAAACCAGGACCTAAACTCCTCTGAACCCCAACCCCCTCACTCACCAAGTTCTTAGCACTCAGATTTTCTTGAAATGAAGAAATTCTGAAGATATACAGAGACAGTTTGACACTGAGTTTGAGAAGATATTTTTTATATTAATCTTTATATTCTTGAAAAACACCATAATTTTGGTATTCGTATGTTGTAATAAAGAAAATAGATGAAGGGGGGTTTATATGTAATCACTTAGCTAAAATTTAATACCATTAGAATTTTCTGAAGATAAATAACCCAGCAAAATTAAATATACTTTAAAATAAAATAATGTCATCTTTTTACCTACATAAATAAAGCAACCAGGATGGTTTTCTTTCTTAGAAGTCGGTAGGCAAGATTATCTTTAGCAAAAATACTCCATCAATACTGACTTTTTCATGCTGACATATGTGGTAGTATAAGAACAGATTTTGAAATTTTAAAACTCATAAGAAAATAAGAAATAAGGTAAGTTCTTCCATGTAAAAACTAACATTGAGAGAAAGAGTCACAGGTTAAGAGGAGAACAAATTAAATGTATTCCTACAGAAACAAAGACCCAAGGGGGCAAAAAGAATTTAGAATTTTTAGCACAAGAAAAATACTCATGCATGGTGAGAGAACACGTGGGCTATTCTCTTCCTATCCCTAAGATATTAGTGTTTCTTTACCCCACAGTAAAAGCTGGATATGAATAATTTCCATGAATACAACATAATGAGTGAATTGCAAAGTTTTTCAAT